GAGATAGAGGCCCTGGGGCTCTAAGCAGTTCCTCTGGGCTCTGGCTTATCTGGGAAGATCCCATTCCCTCCTTCCATAACAAGAAGGCATTGTTTCCTAACAATGGACTTTGTTAAATGTGAGTGATTATGCCCTGGAAACAGAGCTGGAGCTTTCCAGTGTAGAAGCAGAGTCTGAATCCAGACTCCAGTGCTTACTGGCCATGTGATCTTGAGACAGTCACTTAACCTCTCAGAACCTCAGAGTCTTCAACATTAAAATGAGGTTAAGAGCATTAAATAAACACTGTTTCAAGTGCATGTAGATAGGCTCAAAGTTTTGGCTGTACTATTCGAGGGTTAGGCCAGATTTGTACATGTGTGATCTATCCGGTCAGAGGGGCCCTGCACTTGGTTTAATATTCTGTTGTTGCCATCTTTAGATTCATAACAATTTTTTAACAAGGGGCCTATTTATGTATGTTGCACTGGGCCACACAAATTATATATTTGGTCCCTGCAACCAGAGAAAGATGCCCTCCTTTTGTTACTGAGAGTTCAGTACTTTTCCCTGTTCCCAGGGAAGGACAAACAAGGACAAGAGGTTTGAGGAGCAGGAAAGAGAAGTTATTAATTTGCTAGCAAATGAGAAGAACGGCAGACTCTCCTCTTAAAGTACCATTGTCCTACCTGTAAGCAAAAATACAGAGCTTTTAAAGGGGGATTTTCAGCTTTAGGCTATTGATGTTTAAGTATAGTTGATGGTTCTGGATCAACCCCATCTCTGGGGAAGACAATCTCTTGTGACCTCTGCCTGGATAATTCTCTTGAGTCATCTCCTGTGGTACAAGGACACTCTCCTGCCCTTCTGAGTGCCGGCCTTGGTCAGGGATGCAGGTTTTAGTTCCCTAAAAGGGTGAGGGGTTTTAAAGAGACATCTCATAAAACATTTTACCCTCTTTCAGGCCATTACCTCTGTTATACTCATCCAGGCTCCCTGATCCTGGAGTCTCAAGATCTCTCCAAGGGATTCCAGTAAGTGGACATTTGTTAGCACTGCCAGTGCTACACACTGTGGGAGGTAAAGGTGGCACTGTGGTTCTAGGCAGTAGTGAGGCTATAATGAGCAAGCCCGAGCCCCCTTGCTATAACAGACATTTCCTGGCCAGCTGGCCCAGGACAGTTCTTTATGTAGGTGGCCTAGAAACCCTGGGCTCAGTTCATTCAGTAGCATCCCTGGAAGGCCACTTGGAGTCTTTCACAGTTAACCCTGGGGGAAAACAGCACAACATGTAATTCAGAAGTGGTACAAGCTGCAGAAATTGATATGAAATCAGCCAAAAAAAATAAAAATAAAAATAAAAAAATCTTGCAAAAAAATCAAAAGTTCTAATCTTTTAAAATGCTTTTAAGCATATATGCTTTCCCCCCTCTTTTTCATGGGTAGGGGGAAGCAAGAAACCAATAGAAAATATGTTTAAATGAATAAAACCATTGCTGAAGTTGCCTTTAACTCCATAGAAGAGGTTGTAATTTCAATTTGATGTAAAATATTACCTCTGCTCATGGCCATCTTAGAACATTTATTTCTTTTTGGTGATGAGTGAAATGAAGCATTCATTTAGCAAATCAAGCAATTTATCAAGTGTGAAGTGGTTATACCTGAATAATGTATAAAAAATTGAAACATGCTATACAAGATTATCATGTGTTACCATTGTGTTCCAGCGTTCTGCTTTTCCTCTTTGGCAATTAAGTCTGTGTGTGAGGTCCCCCCACCCACCCACATCCATACACACACCCTTCCCAAAGAAGAGAGTCACCTGATTCTAGTCATTCCAAAGGCTGTGTAAGCAGTTAATCAATCTCTAGGGAAGCTCCACTGCTGGGCACTCTAGCCCAGAAATTTCTCTCAAAGAATTATAATTCATAAGGAGCTCTCCATTTTGGAAAGAGGATGAATTGCTTAGGACGGGTTCCATTTTAAACTGTGTGGCGTGACATGTAAAAATGTAATAAATGGATCAATCAAATATCTGGAGTCCTTTGGATAACTTCATTTTTTCACTTAATATATGTTGAGCTCTGGCTGGGCTCTAGATAAAATGGGCCTAATAAAATAAAAAACAGCATACAGATGTAGCCACAGTTACTTTTTTATTATAGTGAAATATATATAAAATTTACCATTTTGATGTAGAACATTTCAGATTTTTTTCTCTGAAATATATTTTTAATGGGTTCATAAATTATTTATAACCTACCCTTTTCCATACTATGAACATCTTCCAGGTCAGTAAGTATAGGTATACACAATCATTTTGAATGGCTACATACTAGTCTATGATGTGGTTGTAAAGTAATTTTGCATGGATGGATCCTGTTTTTTTATTATTATTTGCGTTTTTTAGCTTTTCTGCAATGAATATGGGAAAACTAAATAAATGAAATAATGACTAAAAGGAAAAGGAAAAAACAAAAAATTAAGTCTGATTCTTTTTTTAAAGCCATCTGATTCACTTCTCACTGCAGCTTTCCCTCTGTCCACTCCCCAGCTGGAGCCAACCTTTGTGGGTCACTTTCTAAAGTCCATCTTTTAGGCAACAATGATGTTGGACTGGAAGCCAGGAGAGCCCCACTATAATAGGGCAGGGAGCCAGGCTTGGAATGTGAATCAGACTGAGCATTTCAGGACCCTCTTAAAATATGAAAACATGACTTTTTGCATTCCAAAAATAATACAGTAAGTCAAGTAGTCAAGTCTTGGGAGGAAGCTTTGCTCTGAACAGTGAAATCTGGAAAAGGTACAGGAAGTAAAATACTTGAAAGATACCCAGCAAAGATTTCTTTTGGCCGACAACATTCAGTAGATTACAGCTGTTTCTGTGGTTATTTTTGTAAGTTAACACAGACCAAAAAATGGCGTCTCACTGGGTGCATTCATTTCCTAACAGTTCCAGGACATGGCACCAGATCTGTCCTTGTTGCCATCTAATGATTCAAAGCAGATTCTCCATCAGCCTTTCTAGTCTCTGAAATAAAAACACAGGAATTACAGGGAAGCAGAGTGAGTGTTCTGGGGTGCGGAGGGCTTTTCTTCCATTGCTTTGCAGTTTGGAAAGTTGCCATCCATTCAGGTTTCTCTCAAACCGGCTTTTTCCAGACTCCAGAACAAATTGTAGCCAGTAGCTCTGCTCTTTGTCAGGAGGCTATTGCAACCCATTTAGCCAGGATCTTGCCCTCTTCCCTTAGAAAACAACTTCTCTGAATAGGGATCCTGGCTCTTTTTTTCCCCAGGGGGTAGGATACAGCCCCTAGTCGTACCAGAAAGACCCCAACTGTCCCAGGGTTTCCATCTTGTTTTTATCATTACCCATGTTATATCTGGGTCTCTGGATATCACACCTTCCTAATACCAGTAACTGAAATGTCTAACAGCCAGGTTCTGTGGCTTGCACCTGTAATCCTAGTACTCTGGGAGGCTAAGGTGGGAGGATTGCTTGAGCTCAGGAGTTGGAAACCAGCCTGAGCAACAATGAGACCCCGTCTCCACTAAAAATAGAAAAATTAGCTGGGTGTTGTGGCCTGCACCCGTAATCCCAGCTACTCAGGAGACTGAGGCAGGAGAATGGCCTGAGCCCAGGAGTTTGAGGTTGCTGTGAGCTAGGCTGATGCCACAGTACTCTAACCCTGGGTGACAGAGTGACAGCCTGTCTCAAAAAAGAAATGTCTCACAGTCTTTCCTCATTTTTTTTCCTCTTTCAATAAATAAAGCAAAATAAATAGTCCCTGTCTCCATTGTCTGAAACCCCAGGCAATTAACCTTTTGAGGAGCTGCACACAAGTTAGAGGTCTAGAAACCCACATAGGTTGCACTGAATTTAACCCCTTGCACAGGAAGTTAAAGCTAGGAAGCTTGGTTCCTATTTGGTGGTCAGATATTGCTTTCTTTTGTTAGAGATCAGCTTTCCTTCCTTTTAAGGCAAAGAGGCCCTTATACAATAGAATCATTAAGGTAATCCTCTTGACTACAAAGAGGGTAAAGCAGCTGTTCTATATCTTGAATGTGGTGGCAGTTGCATGACTATATGGGTGTCAAAACATAAATCTACTAAAATGGCTGACTTTTACTGTATATAAATTATACCTCGATTAAGAACACCAACAATAATCTGGTTTACTAACATGGAAAAATATGTAAAATTTAACCCTAACGGGGGACAGAAGAGGGTTGCATCTATAAAGTATATGTACATATGAATAAGGAAACTAGCTAAGTTTTGTATTTTTTGTAGAGATGGGGCCTGGCTCTTGCTTTGGCTGGTCTTGAACTCCTGGCCTTAAGCGATGGTCCTGCCACAGCCTCCCAAAATGTTAGGATTACAGGCACTGAAAGATGAGGGTTTGTTATATTTATTAAAATGTATGGAACTGTACACTTAAAATGCGTTCGCTTTAGGCACGTTATGCTGTATGTCAATTTAAACATTTCTTAAGAAAGCTTAAAAGGCCTGGGTAGTGGTCACAGGGTGTATTTCCAAATAAAAAATATTCAGCTACTTAAAATTTGTGCAGTGTACCGTAATTATACCTGAATAAAATAATGAAGAAATCAAAGCTCTCTAAAGTGGCGCTGTGGTGGACTAGTGGTCAAGCCGCCCGCGATCTGTTCGCTGGATTCATCCTAGAACAGGCCTCCAGGGCGGTACCCGACCCCTGCAGTACACGCTCCCGCGCGGCTTGCGGCGAGGGCGCCAGAGTCTCGGCGGGGTGGTTGCCATCCCCCGCAAAGGCCCCTGGCTCTCGGGCACCAGCAGCCTTCCGACCCACTCGGGACGGTCGTGAGCGTCCGAGCTCCTCATCCCAGCAGCCCGCCAGGGAACTGCCGCCTCTGGCGACCCCACCACTACACACCGCCACCGCCGCGCTAACGTCACCGCCTCCCCGCCTCTTGCGGCCGTTCCCGCCCCGCCCTCTCTCCCGGCGTGCACCGCGGCAGAGGCTCCTCGCCCTCGGCTTCTGCCTGTCGCCCCAAGATGGCGGACACAATGAGCCGGCACCGCGCCGGTTGCCCCTGAGGCGGCTGTGAGGACGAACAGTCAGCTAGGCCCCACAGTCCAGGCAGAAGAGCGTTGCCCAAGCAGGAGGAAGAGGAGGAGGTGGCCCAACTGCCGGCCGCCCTCCCGCCGGCCCGGCGCCCGCCCCGCCCGGGTTGGCCCCTCGGCAGCCAGCCCGCTCGCTAGCCGCCGGGCCCCGCCCCGGCCCTGCGCCGCCACTGCCTCCAGCAGCCGCCGCCATGAAGCTGACCGACAGCGTGCTGCGGAGCTTCCGCGTCGCCAAGGTGTTCCGCGAGAACTCGGACAAGATTAACTGCTTCGATTTCAGCCCTAACGGCGAGACGGTTATCTCGAGCAGCGACGACGACTCCATCGTGCTGTATGACTGCCAGGAGGGCAAGTGAGTGCGGCGGAGGCCCTGGGCCCGGGTCTGAGTCCCTCCCTCCCTCCGGTAGTCCACCTCTGGCCCCGCGGTCGGCCCTCCGTCCCGACTTCAACCCCGGCCTGTTTTACACTCTCCTATCAGGGCTGCCTCCACCTCGCAGCCGTCCAGGAGACCTTTTTTTCCCTTTTTAAAAAAAATAATGACAATCATAATAATAATAGCATTATTGTTTTGTATGGCTTTGGTCTCCCCAGAACGCTTCTGCACCTTGCCAAACCCCACCTTGACCTTGACCTTAAAACGCCCTGTCCACCCACTCCAGCCCCAGTTTGTAGCTTTTTCCGCTCCTCAGGCTGTCAAAGGTACTAGTTGGCTCTCTGAGTCGCGACGCAGGTCTGCAGGGGCTGCTCTCCTGCCTCATGCAACAGCGTCAACTCTCCTCTGCCCTCTCCGCTGTGACCTCGATTCAGCCCTGGCACTCCGCCCATCTCCTGCCCCTCTGCTTCCCGCGGCCTTTCTGCCATCAGGCTGCGTAGGTCGCAGTTCTTAGCTGTCAGGATTTATTTGTTCCTCTTCGAGCCCCCCTGGCTTTTTCTTCCTCTTCCAAGCTTTTCTCTTACTCCCTCAGACCCGGTGCCCACGTTTATAGTGAACTTTTAAACAACATAAAAAACTTCCTTTTTGCCCAGAGACAAACGAACTTGGCTGTCCCATCCCGACCTGAATGTGAGCTCCCTTTGAAACAAAGAGAACAATTTCAGGTTTCCTCTTACACTTTTTTTTTTTTAATTACACTTTATGGTCCACTTGAAATTCCAAGACTGATGAAACTTTTATATTGCCTCAAGCTATTTGGAGACCCACCACACCTGCATCTCTTTGCAAAATCTAGGCACAGCATTTTGCCTTTTTTCCCTGGAGGCCTTGTTGGCCTCGGCTCATCCCACCCCTGTGAACTTGCTCCAAGCCCTTGCTTAGTTGTGAGTTCCTTTAGAGACAAAACTGGTTCAGGTTAAATTTTATTTCCTCTCAGCAAGCAGGGTTGCTGAGGTTTAGTTTAATTGAGTGGCTACTGGTTTTGTCAGACTTAATTTTGTTACCTAGTAACAGATCTTATTTTTTGAACTCTTAGGTTTTTCTCTACCTTCTCCAGCTGTTCCTTGCCTTTTTTTTTTTTTAAACCTATGTCTGTCTTTTGGAGTGTGTCTCTTCATTTGTGAATTTGATTATCTAAAGTAATGCAGTTTTTAATTGAGCTGGAATGGTATCCCAATTTTTTCCTATGGGAGCTATGAAAAAGTATTATGTAACTGGCTCTGAACTGCCTTCAGTATGTGTTAAGAGTGGCCTACAGTGGTGGTCTTGGGGGAGAAGGAATTGTTAGTTGGAAGGTTACTTAGTTATTTGAGTCAGTGTTATTCATTTTGTAGATGGATTTCTGTCCAGGTCTGGTCACTTCGATGGGTTTAGAAGAGGGAGTAACCCTTAAAGCTGGGGTTGGAGTCGGGATTGAGGAGTCCTGTATTGTGGCATCCTGGAGGAGACGTAATTTGAAGCTGGCTTGCTTAAAATATTTAGTGTTTGTACACAGATTAGAAAAACCTTTCCCTGGAATGTGAGGATAGAGATGTACATCATTCAAAGGAAATGAAGGTTTGTTGTGATAGCATTTCTTCACAGTTTGTATCCAAATGTAGTATAATTTTGAAGAATGATAGTGACATGAAGTCCCGTCCTGTTAAAAGTAAAATGCCAGTATTATGACATAATGTAGTTTATTCACTTGAGTAGCATTTTTATATAATTACAAACTTACAGAAAGTTACAGCAGTGTTTCAAAGAATTCCCCATATGATTCAACCACTGGTTACATTTTCCTCATTTGTTTTATCATTCTGTAGGTAAATATTTATATGCACTGTATGCATTTTTTTTAACTGAACTATTAGTAAGTTGGAGATACCACGCCTCTTTATCCCTAAACACTTAAACATGGATTTCCTAAGCACAGAGACATTCTTTTACATAACCACATCACAATTATCTAAATTAATTAGGAAATTTAATGTCAATACAATACTACAGGGCATGCTCTTTTGAATTTTCTCTAATCAATTAATTGACTTCATTTCTTTGTGATCTGTGATGAGGGAGTGGCCTGGTAGTTAGGAGACCTGGGTTCTCGTTTGGCCTTGTGATCAGGTGTGTGGCATTGATCAAATCCTTCTCTGGATATTAGATGATCTCTTTAGCCTGCGTGATTCTAAGTGGTAATGTCAAACCAATATCCGAAGAAATGTATTTCCTTAGAAGGCATAATATCTTTATTAGATGGTACTAATGTTAGGATTTGGAGTTTGAAAATGGCTAAAACAAGATTTTCTTATGCTTAGTCTTTTCCAGTTTACTGTTCATTTAAACTTTCTTTATAGTGGAGTTGATTGAGTGATACTTTGACTTGGAAGGCTATAAAGAATATTGTTTGTGGTAGGTGATGCAAATTACTCAAAGGCTTTAATATTCCTTGTTCATACCTGATCACCAGAATCATAGTTTGAGGAGAAAAGCTTACCAGAATATTTGAAAAATGTTGTGCATGAACTTTGTAAAGGCCCCTGAAATGGATGCAACACATGAGAATGTTGCTTTCCAACTAGGAAATGAAATGAGGTAATTGATTTCTTTTATTAGGAACAAATCTCAGGTTAGTGTTTTTAATAAATTTGAGGTTAAATAGGCCATGGCTTTGTGAAACTACATCCTTTAACTCTTTAGGTTAAAGAAAAGTTGGCTCTTCATATTCTGTCTTTACTATTGTAGGTGGGGTGAAATACTGGTATAAACTTCTTCCACTGGTAGAAGCAAAGTCAGCTATCTAGAAAGCAAGCAGACAGTCACATACTCAGGCTCACTTTCTCAGTGGTTACCACGAAGTAACTTCACAGCAGAACCGCAGACAGTAGACTCCATGAGATAGCCTTTGCTAATCTTTTTAGGGGTGAAGTATTATTTCAGTCAAGGTAAGAATGTGGAAAAATCCAGTGCATTTGTGGTAAGAAGTCTTTTTTGGAAATAGATTTTATGTAGGGAAGCACTTATAGCCTTACTGATATTAACAAAAATTGAAAGTGCAAATAATTTACTTCTTAAGGCTGCCTGAGTTATCTGATTGTTTAGCATACAGATTCCAAGATGATTTTATATTGAGAGAGTAAACTTTCCTTTTCATAAATTGGAGCTCTTAGCAAACATTGGTAGAGGATTTATGAAATCCTTCTAAGACCTAAATGTAGAACATTATGTTAAAGGCTTTCTGGTTTCTGAATTGGTATATATTGGAGAGTTGTTCTAGCATTTGAATCTAGTTTTACAGAGACATTTTAGGTGAATTTTTTTTTGTCTGACTTAAGTGGTGTGTGACAAAGTTTTTGGTTAAAGATTTTGCTGAGATCAGTTTTATCTTGATCTTCAAGATTCTATAAGAGGAAGACATTTAAGGACCTTCAACATATGGATTGGTAACATCTAGTTTGAAAATGTGTGATTTTACATTAAAATAAAAACAAAAGAGCCATTGACTAGTTTTGCTAGGGAGAGTTAGGCTTGCCTTCTAAAAGGCAAATGCTTAGGATCTGTAGAATTGGGAGGATAGATATCTTCTGCAAGGGCCAGTTATATTAGGAAAGGCAAGCAGTTTTGCACCTGGTTTCAGTTTTGATAAATCACTGCCTTCTTGAAGAAAGAGCTTCTTTCTAAGTGAATGCCATAAGAAAAGTTTTGGCATCTTGAGTTTGACGTATTTTCACCCATCTTTGTTGTAAGTTACGACTTGTGTTGTTTTGTATGCCTTTTTCCCCAAATAGATATATGGTCATGTGTTACTTAACCATAGGGATTGTTAAGTGTTTTTGTCATTTTGCCAATATTATAGACTGTATTTATACAAACTTAGATGGCATAGCCTACTACACACCTAGGCTATATGATACAATGGCTGCAAACCTGTACAGCATGTGACTGTACTGAATACTGTAGGCAATTGTAACACCGTGGTATTTGTATATCTAAACATAGAAAAAGTTTTATACAGTAAAAATACTGTATAAAAGATACATAATGCCCTATACACCTGTTTAGGGCAGCTCTATTTTAGTCTTATGAGACCACCATCATATATGCAGTCGCTCATTGATTGGAATGTCATTATGCGGCACATGACTGTTTTTTCCTTACTTTTGAACATTGTAGTAAATTGAGTCCCCAGACTTACTTCTACTTCCTACCTAACCTTGGCATTAGGTGTTCCGAGGTGAAAGTCTTTAGATGGCTGTTGCACTGGATTGGCTATCGTTTTCTCCCTTTTGGAAGAAATTCTGTTTCTTTCCAGTGTTAGAGCTTACCAAGAATCCTTACCTTTGCCACATCATTCAGGTGCTTCTTTTCATTTTTTTTTTCTTTGCATTTCCTTCTCAAGTGCTTCTGCTTATATGGAAATCACAGATTTTGGTGATAGAGAATTTTGATGGTTTTCTTTTCTCTGTCCATTTCCTCATCAGACCAAAGAGAACCCTGTACAGTAAGAAATACGGCGTGGACCTCATCAGATACACTCATGCAGCAAACACAGTTGTTTACAGCTCTAACAAGATAGATGGTAAGTAAGCAATCCTTCTTTTTAGGATGTTATGGTTATGATTTCCTTTGTTAAATAGTTCACGGAATCTTTGTGACTACTGCTATTTGGTTATAGTTACTTTAGTTTAAATATTTTCCTATGATGTTAGCAATGCTAATTATATTGTTGTAACTGAAAGAATGCTGGAAGCAAGCCTTTAGCACTTTGGAAGGACTTGAAACTGAGTGTAAAATGTCTCCAGTTTAGAATGGGGAATGGGAAAAGGAAGCAACTAATTTTAATTATGGTTTGTACTTCTTTAAACTTAAAAGAATACTTTTAGAGTAAATAAAGGGAAAGAATACTTGACACAAAGGGGTAAGCAATAGGACCTTGCGTTCAAAGTATATAGATTTGAGAAAAATTTTCACAAATGCTTGAGCTATGATAGTTTAAGGAAAGTTAGAAGAGTTTTTGATGTTTGCCCAACCTTTTATGGTCTGTGTCATAAAGTATACTAAGCTTAAGTCATCTTTGATTCCAGGGACACTTTTTGATCTGAATTTTATCCCTTTTAAATACAACTAATACCTTTGAAGAGTAGAGTTATTTTTTTAGAAGTTAAACTTATTAATTTCTTCCTATAAGCAGCTTTTGTTTTTACCTGCAATTCTCCTGGGGTAAGCCCCTCTAAAGCCCTTCTAAGTTGATAGATTGATAATTGATCTATAAGGTTTTTTTCTTTTCTTTTTTCTTTTTTTAATTCCTGTACTATTAAGTAACACTTATTTTCGATCTGGAATTTTTTTTTTTTAACTTAACGGCTTATTGATCATTTCACTTTTTTTGTTGTTTTCTTTTTTTGAGACAGAGTCTCATTTTGTTGCCCCGCCTAGAGGGCTGTGGCGTCAGGCTAGCTCACAGCAACCTCAAACTCCTGGGTTCAAGCGATCCTTCTGCCTCAGCCTCCCAAGTAGCTGGGACTACAGGCATGTGCCACCGTGCCCAGCTAATTTTTTCTATATATTTTTAGCTGTCCAAGTAATTTCTTTCTATTTTTAGTAGAGACGGGGTCTCGCTCTTGCTCAGGCTGGTCTTAAACTCCTGAGCTCAAATGGTCCACCGCACTCGGCCCAATCATTTCACTTTTTGCAGTAAGATTTTTCTAATGTCATTCAACAAATATTGGCTTAGACTGCTATTTTGGCCTTGCTTATCTCAGAGCAGGTAGGCAGAAGTCCCCCCACCCCCTTTTTTTATGAGCTTTTCTGCCTGTACTGAATTTTTAGTTAAGAATATCATTTCTACTTTTCGTGCCTCTATTTCAGAAGTGGTTTTCTAAGTAAGCAGTGCAGTTGATGCTTTTAGACAAGAATATAAAAACATTAGGATCCTGAGGAAACATGTCTATGTGATCATCTGAATGACTGGTATATTTCTTCTGTTGGGCTGTTTTTCTGAGTGATTAAATGAGGATTCTCCAAATGTGGTGCAAGATGAGGCAAATGTGTGGCACTTGCAGCTTTGCTGCCAGGGTTCTGCTGTGAGGATATTGCCTTTCCTGTTTCGAGTGCATCCTGAAGAGTTCCTCCAGCGCTCCGTTTCCTTTGCCTGATTCCAGGCTGAGGTAGTAGTTTGTACAGTTTGAGGGTCTATGATACCACCCGGTATAGGAGATAACTGTACAGGCCACTGCCTTGCCAGGAACAGCGCGCCAGCTACTGAGTGGGGTGGAGAGGATGGCGTCGCCCTGCTCATCTCTGGGAAACCAGGTAATGGGGAGGAAGTCTGTCTTCTTAGGGCAGGTGAGTAATTCTTAGCGCCAGAACAACCAGGAATACTTTGTAGTTGTCATTCAAGAAATTTGAAGATGTTTTCAAGGAAAACCATGTAGAGTTCAGTTATGGAACATACAAAGAATGCCCCTTTCCCCCTCCCAGATTAAATACCTTCTTATTAGAAAGCACCTCTGTGAAGCACTGGAAAAACTTGGTGCTGTCAGCCTCTTTATTCCTGTGTTCTGTCTGCCTTTAGGATGTTCTTTCTGTGCTTTTCTTTCTGCATTTCTATACCATTTCCTATTACTTGTTTCTCAACATAATTTTTCCTTATTCCTATTCTTTTTAGGGGCATAGTAGTTTCCTATTTTGAAGTTCAATTCTTTATGGCACTTTATTTCACTAGTACCCCCATCCTGTTTGTTTACTTTTTCAAATACAATCATTTGGTTTTTAAGAGTGTCTTATTTTCCTCAAGAACAAATCTCTGTAATTATTCCTTTCTTTAATATTGTCAAAATCTCACTGATATGACTTGTTGGTATACGAGTTTGACTTTTTAAATGTCTTAAGATCTTTTTAACCCAAATCTTCTCTTTCTATTTTGTTTACTTTCAAGGTAAATTGTGTATGCACTTGAACATTCAAATAGGTCAGGATTGGGTTAACATACTGTTAGAGAGAACCCTGGACAGATTTGCTATGAGGGTCCAGCTTGATCTTTAGCTTAATGTGGCTGCTTACCTCTTTGAGCCTGTTTCCTCAGCAGCCAGATATTTTTCTTTAAGGTTTGCCATTCTGTGGGCACTAGACCAATGTCTAAAACCGTTGGCTTGGTTTGTTTTTTGTTTGTTTGTTTTGTTTTGTTTTGTTTTTGGCTAGAGTACATTTGCAAGGCAAGTTGCATTTTAATTATGAAGAAGCCAAAGATTGATAGTGAAACAGTGATTTCAAACATTGTTTTCTATGCTGTCAACCTAAGAACTCTACTTTTGAGGTATGTGAAATCTACATACCAACTCTTCATCTGCAGAGAGGAATTATTCACCATTATTTATTCACACCTTACTTTTGTTATGAAAAACAATGAGTTCTTTGACCTTGTCTTTTCAAGATGAAGAGGCAAAGTAAATTCCTTTTAAATAGTACAATATCATCATAGCTTATTTGTCTTCTTACAGATACTATTCGTTACCTGTCCTTGCATGACAACAAATACATCAGATACTTTCCTGGACATAGCAAAAGGTAAGACCCAAGTGTTATAGAAGTAGATAATTTTTTTATCCCTGAGGTTACCCAGAGAATAGAAGAGTGGAGACGTTTTATTAGTGAACTGAAGCTACTTCCTCACTGCTGTTCGGCATTCCTCTTGATCTTTTCTTGTTAACTCTTCTTAAATAGTCACTTAATTTACTGAAGTTATAGAAGCAAAGATAGTATTTCAGAGATAAACTGAAATCTCAGTTAAAATATAGTTAGATGGCTCACGCCTGTAATCCTAGCACTCTGGGAGGCCGAGGTGGGTGGATTACTCGAGGTCAGGAGTTCAAAACCAGTCTAAGAAGAACGAGATCCCGTCTCTGCTATAAATAGAAAGAAATTAATTGGCCAACTAATATATATAGAAAAAATTAGCCGGTCATGGTGGCACATGCCTGTAGTCTCAGCTACTGGGGAGGCTGAGGCAGAAGGATTGCTTGAGCTCAGGAGTTTGAGGTTGCTGTGAGCTAGGCTGATGCCATGGCACTCACTCTAGCCTGGGCAACAAAGCAAGACTCTGTCTCAAAAATGAATAATAAATAAATAAATAAATAAAATATAGTTAGAAAAAAATGTTGATTAAAGATAGTCATTGAAAGCCTATGTATTTAATGGTTTTTTTTTTTTTTTTTTAATTTCTGAGACAGAGTCTCACTCTTTGCCCAGGCTAGAGTGCCATGGCTTCAGCCCAGCTCACAGCAACCTCAATCTCCTGGGCTCAAGCGATCCTACTGCCTCAGCCTCCCATGTAGCTGGGACTACAGGCATGCACCACCATGCCCGGCTAATTTTTTCTATACATTTTTAGTTGGCCAATTAATTTCTTTCTGTTTTTAGTAGAGACGGTCTTGCTCTTGCTCAGGCTGGTTTCAAACTCCTGACCTTGAACGGTCCGCCTGCCTCGGTCTCCCAGAGTGCTAGGATTATAGGTGTGAGCCACTGCACCTGGCCTATTTAATGTTTTTAATGGTAAAAATTACATTTGGTATTTAGGTACACCAAATCTCAGATGTCCATTAATAAAAGGACCATTGTGTTTATTAGGCCTTCCAATATACATGGCCTCCATTTCAGCATGCCTCTACATAAAAATGTTCTATTTGAAGTTCTTAATTTGGATGCAAAAGAAAAAAAAAGTTCTTTGCTGTTTTTACAGTCAAGAAGTTTACCTCTTTATTTCTATATTGTAATACAGGTTACTTCTCTCTGATCCTCATTCCATTGTCTCCAATTTTTTGTCTCCAGTTTTTCAGGTTTTTCAGGTTGAATGTTAAACACATTTTCCTTTCCCTTGGGTAATATTTTAATCACTTGAGGTATTTCCTCCTGCTTTCATTCTCAAATGTTCACTACAGTAATCCAGAATAGTTAAGAGTGGTATGGAGATGGCCTGAGATAAGTTGCACTCCGGATTGGGCAGGACACTTCTGTGTTGCTAAAGATATGAGGTGGCAGCTATTGGTTACTGTGTGCTTTCAGATAAAGGATGTCTTATAGATGTTTTTGCTTGTTTGTATTCAAATTAATATTCACAAAGGTATTATTTGTAATTAAGAGCTGATGCAGTTATTCAACCTCTTGAGGTCCTGATTCTTTGTAGACAACATTATCCTTCCTTTTTTGAGAAAATCAAGACTATCCAAAATCTTTGAGTTCTTTTGAACCTCTATCCCTACCATCTAAACTGTTCTCTTCCTTGGAACCCTTTCCTTGAGGAAGCAGTATCTTTTCTTTGACAAACTAGCCTTTCTCCTTGCGCATGTTTCCATTTCCTTATTTGGCCTTTTTCTTGCTGCCTACAAATTTACTTGGCCATTCTTTTTTTTTTTTTTTTTTTGAGAAAAGGTCTCACTCTGTTGCCTGGCTAGAGTGCCATGTTATCAGCCTAGCTCACAGCAACCTCAAACTCCTGGGCTCAAGCGATCCTCCTGCCTCAGCCTCCAGAGTAGCTGGGACTACAGGCATGTGCCACCATGCCCGGCTAATTTTTTAAATATATTTTTAGTTGTCCAGCCAATTTCTTTCTATTGTTTTAGTAGAGACAGGGTCTCACACTTGCTCAGGCTGGTCATGTACTTGGTTATTCTTGTCTTGAATATTTATTGACTGTATCATCTCCTTTTCACCATCAAAAGAATAATCTGGACATTTGCATCTCTATCTCACGTGTATTTACTGTTTAAATCACTTTTGCTACCAGAATTTTGCTATCAGAATCATCTATAGGGCTTTATCCAAGCCTTTTCCTTCCCTTTCCCTGCTGCCTCTGGTTCCAATTCATTGCTTTGGACTTTACTTGGTGCTCAAACTCTTAGTAGAATTTTTTCCAGGGCAGTTGACTTTTCTCCTTTTGGTTCTGTTTCTGCTATTCACAGCCTCTCTGTTTTGACACTAGAATAAACAAAAATTCTACTGTAACTCCACCCCCCCTTTATTATTTTCTCAACTATATCCATCACTAATTTCATTCATCTTTACTCATATGGCTTCCCAAGTCAGTATTTTCAGCCCATGTCTGTCATGAATTCTAGACTCGGCTTTCACATACAAGTTTTTTTTTTGTTTTGTTTTGTTTTTTTGAGACAGAGTCTCACTTTGTTGCCCAGGCTAGAGTGAGTGCCATGGCGTCAGCCTAGCTCACAGCAACCTCAAACTCCTGGGCTCAAGCAATCCTCCTGCCTCAGCCTCCCGAGTAGCTGAGACTACAGGCATGTGCCACCATGCCCAGCTAATTTTTTCTATATATATTAGTTGGCCAATTAATTTCTTTCTATTTATAGTAGAGATGGGGTCTCACTCTTGCTCAGGCTGGTTTCGAACTCCTGACCTGGAGCAATCTGCCCACCTCGGCCTCCCAGAGTGCTAGGATTACAGGCGTAATCCTAGCACTGGCCCACATACAAGTTTTATACACATCTATATAGATGTCTCTTCTGTGCCACTACTGTACAGATCTGATACTCTTTCTGTGATCGTTACATTCCTTGGGCTAGCTCCTTTCTGTCATCCTCATTTTTCTTTGTCTCTATCCCTTTCAACTTCTAAGTCTCCCAACTCAAAAGTGCCTGTTGTAAATTCACTTCCTTTCCCCTGCCATCATATCTGGTGAGTTGTTAAACCCTATTGATTCTACCTAGGTTTAACCTTGTGTGTCACTTTCTTCTGTACTCTCTCCTTTGCTTCTTTCCTAGTTTATGCCCTATCAAGTGAATTATTATCAAATCCTAATTAATCACCCCATCTCTCAGCATCCTGCTTCAGCATCCAATGTTACAGTTCTAACTGCTTCACTACCTCCCTTAGTGGTTCTCCACATCTGCCTGCTCTTTCCCATTGGAATCAGGTTCTGTACCCCTTCTGGCTCTGACCCAATTTTCCCAGCATTTTTTCTCACCACTCCAGTTAAGTGAACTCAGGGCTGTTTCCTAAACATGGACCTCATGCCTTCTTGTCAGGTACCTTTCAGAAAGGTGTCTCACTTTGAAACCTTGTCCACCACAAATGTTGCTTCTTTCAGAAAGCCTTTCTTGGCCCTCTTTTGGAGTTGTGTGAACCAGACAGTTAAGTTTCCTTAGGGTCAGGATCTTGCTTCTCCTTGTGTTCCCTGTACTTCTCAGCATAGAGCCTTATACCGGGATAGACCTTCTCTGAGCTCTTGAGCTGAATGCCATGGCATGAAATTACATGTACACAAGCTTTCTGCTCACTTTTTAAAAATTTTTAAGTTGAGGAGCTAGTACAAATGTGAGTTGACTTATAAGTTTGGTGCCCACCAACAGCCTCACCATCACCTGGTAACTTGTTAGAAACTCAGATTCACAGACCTCAGCCCAGACCTGCTAGATTAAAAGCTCTGGGAGCAGATGCCAGAAATCTGTTTTAACCCACCCTCCAAGTGATGCTGATACCACTCAGGTTTCAGAACATTGGTATAGTCCACAAAGGTCTTGTTAAGCAATTGTACTTTCTTTTTTCAAATTGATATGTAGTTCACATACCATAAATCATCCCTTTTAAAATATACAACTCAGTGGTTTTTACTATATTCACAGAGTTGGGCAACCATCACCACTGTCTAATTTCAGAACATTTTCATCACTACAAAGAGAAACCTTGTGCCCATTAACAGTCATTCCCTTAGCCCTTGGCAATCACTAATCCACTTTCTCTGTATATAGAGTTCCCTATTGTAGACATTTTGTATAAATGGCTTTTATGTCTGGCTTCTTTTACTTAGCATGGTGTTTCCAAGGTACATCCATGTTGTCATATGAATCATACTTAATCCCTTTTATTGCCAAATAATATTTCATTGTATGGATATACCACATTTTGTTAATTCATTAGTTAATGGATATTTCAATTGTACTTTTTGGCTATTATGAATAATGCTGCTATGAACACATGTATACATTTTTATGTGGATATATATTTTAGTTCTCTTGGGTATATATGTAGGAGTGGAATTTCTGGATTATATGGTAACTATCTTTTTGGAAAAACTTTTCCAGAGCAACTGTACCATTTTTTTCATTTCCACCAGCAATGTAGAAGGGTTCCAATTTTTCCACATCCTCACCAACACTTGTTATCATCTCTCTTTTTTATTAATAGCTGTGGCTAGTGGGTGTTGAAGTAGTATTTCATTGTTTTGTTTTTTTTATTTGCATTGGAGTCATACATTTTTTATGCTGTAATTTTAAGTTGCTTTATTCATTATACTAGTTGTCTTTGGTTATTCCAGGTATGCTCGTGTATGTGTGTTTTAGTGTGTTTCTTAAAATGGCAGTTTTGGGAGAACAGGTATATGTAGATAGAGTTGCTTAGAGTTCACATCCAGTTTTTGCTAATGTTTTGCTTCAACTCCTGTTTATCTTGATGCATTGCAGGGTGGTGGCCTTGTCCATGTCACCTGTGGATGACACTTTCATTTCTGGGTCTCTTGATAAGACCATTCGACTCTGGGATCTCCGGTCTCCTAACTGCCAGGTAATGGTACTTTAAAGTTGTATTTTTGAGCTTTTTCTATGGTAGGCATACCATCTCCCCCTCCCCCCAGTTAATATGGAAGTTTTAAGGGTGAGTTTTATCATCAAGGAATTTGTTTTTACTTGAACTCTGTCTATAATATTGTACAGTTAAGGTTAATCAGAAATCTCTTGTCTAGGGACCTTTTAAAGCGTCATTTTGTTTATTTTTATGTTTGTTTGTTTTCTGTTCTGCAGGTAGGCTGGTATTTGCTTATATGCCTTAGTTTTCTTTGGGAAAAGTAAATTATATAGTGGTAGGGTCCTGGATTCATTAACTCTTTGTCTTATTTCTTTTCTTTTAGGGCCTCATGCATCTACAAGGCAAGCCGGTTTGTTCTTTTGATCCAGAAGGGTTAATTTTTGCTGCAGGTGTCAACTCTGAAATGGTCAAACTTTATGACCTTCGTTCTTTTGATAAGGTAAATCTTTGAATCTTTGAGCTATCTTAATATGGAAGTTTTTTCTTTTTTTTTAATTTATTTTTTATTTCGGCATTTATGGGGATATAGTTTTTAAGGTTTCGATAAATGCCCTCCCCCCCAGTTAATATGGAAGTTTTAAGGGTGAGGTAGACATTTTAAGAGAGTTTTCTATGATAAGTAAATGTGTGGTAGATATTAGAGAATGGCAGAGCAGTTGTTCATCCTCTGCTTTCCCTAGTCAGAAAGGAATCTAAAGGGATAGAATGTGAGTTGGCTCTAAGAGATGGAAATATTAATGTGCCTTGGACCTGGGGCTGCTATTTTTATCATTTGCAGGGGCCATTTGCAACTTTTAAAATGCAGTATGATCGGACTTGTGAATGGACAGGACTTAAGTTCAGCAATGATGGCAAGCTCATCCTCATCTCTACCAATGGCAGCTTCATTCGTCTTATCGATGCATTCAAGGGAGTGGTGATGCATACATTTGGGGTAAGCCAAGAGCCTTTAAGCATGGCTGTTTCCACGTGCGTACTTTCTGGGCTGAGAATTGTGTTAGCTGGTTAGTACAGGCCAGCAGTTATCTTTGACTCACTGATCAAGGCATGAGCTTGAATTTTCTTCCTGTTCATGAACTTATTTGGATTCTGTAGACATTCACTTTTCACCAAGTGACATAAGTTTGATGTTTAGTTATAAAATAATTCCTAACTATAAACAGTTTCCTTGTCCCCTTGAATATGGAGTTGGGGGTAGAGGTGGATTATAAAGGGTGGCAGCCACATTTGAAACCTTGGTGGCATAGTACATAACAAGGGAAGAGTTTCAGCCGGGCACGGTGGCTCACACCTGTAATCCTAGCACTTTGGGAGGCCGAGGTGGGAGGATTGCTCAAGGTCAGGAGTTCGAAACCAGCCTGAGCAAGAGCAAGACCCTGTCTCTACTAAAAAAAAAATAGAAAGAAATTAATTGGCCAGCTAAAAATTAGCTGGCCATGGTGGCACATGCCTGTAGTCCCAGCTACTTGGGATCCTAAGGCAGGAGGATCGCTTGAGCCCAGGAGTTGAGGTTGCTGTGAGCTAGGCTGATGCCACAGCACTCTAGCCCGAGCAACAAAGTTGAGACTCTGTTTCAAAAAAGAAAAAGGAAAGAGTTTCATGGAAAGGAAAGATCATGCATGTGCTGGGTTGTGTTTCCAGGAAATAATTTTTGTTTTTATTAATGGCCCTGTAACAACAAGAGAACCACTCTGTTTTGTTTTAGGGTTATGCCAACAGCAAAGCTGTCACACTGGAGGCTTCATTTACTCCAGACTCTCAATTTATTATGATTGGTGAGCTTCCTTTATCTCCCTTGGAGTTATTTCTCTGGTACTGTGCATTTGTTTGTTTAAATTAGAAACTAAGATATTATTATCTGTTTGATGTTGTTAGATTTCTGTATAGCACATTATGCCAAGGGTATGGTGTCTTTAAACTGTTCTGGCTTAGGAGTTCTTTACTGGGAACTGGCATAAATGTTGGTCTTCCCTGGACCAACATCGGAGTTAAACTGTGCAAGCACTACCTTGTTAGTAATACTAACGTCCTGGTATAATCCTCCATTCATTCATCTTTGTGGCTACACGTTGGTAAGGTAATGGTATTCAACCACTTTTTTAGACAGAAAACTGAAGTTAGAGGGGAAGTGATACATGCCTGTGAGCAGATAACCAGGGTCAAGATTAGTTTTCAAAGTGTCCTCCTTTCACTGCCTCTTCTCTCTCTAAATTTCTGCTGAGGGCTGGGTCTTGAAGTGTGGCCTATCTTGAGGCTTCAATTCATGTCTCCTTTACATTTTCTTTGTATTATGCCTTGAACTGTTACATTTTCCTTGAATATTCTCTTTAGGTTCAGAGGATGGCAAGATCCATGTTTGGAATGGAGAGAGCGGTATAAAAGTAGCTGTGTTAGATGGTAAACACACCGGCCCCATTACCTGTTTGCAGTTCAACCCCAAGTTCATGACCTTTGCCAGCGCATGTTCCAACATGGTATGTGAACAAGAGGTTCCCTCTACTTAGGGACCCTTTCCAGTTGGGGTGGTGGGTGCCTCAATAACCCCATCCAGCTGTGTTCTACATAGGTACATTACAAGCACCCCAGTTAATGTTTCTGAACTGATGGGTTGCCTCTTTTACCTCATATTATGTGATCTCTGGTTATGCTGGTCTTTCACTTTGATTCTTCTTCCCTCTTCCCAGAGTTGATCTAGGGTCACCTCAGAGCTCCAAGGAAGCCAGTTTTACTGTTTGAGCCTGGTTTTAGGCTCAAACTACCTCAGCTATACTTAACAGCTTTTTTTGCTCCTTAAAATACTCTGCACCAGTCTTTTGTGGCTACAGCCTTTTAGTTTTCCATTCCTCTTGGTTTATGCTGAATTTCCAGAAATTCTTACAGTTAATCATAACTTACCACTTAGAATTAACTCCAGGCCCATATCTCTTCCTAGATACCATTGGCAGAATCAAGGATCAGTGATTTTTGGCCTCCTGTTTCCTCTTAGGATTTCCTAAACTCATCTGGGTATTTGGGGATGAGGCATTTCATTACAAGCCTACCCAGAGCACATTGCCCCCTATTTTTTTTTTTTTTTTAGAGACAGATTCTCACTCTTGCCTGGGCCTGAGTGCCGTGGTGTCAGCCTAGCTCACAGCAACGTCAAACTCCAGGGCTCAAGCAATTTTCCTGCCTCAGCCTCCTGAGTAGCTGGGACCATAGGCACACGCCACCATGCCTAGCTAATTTTGTTCTATTTTTAGTTGTTTGGCTAATTTCTTTCTATTTATAGTAGAGACAGGGTCTGGCTCTTGCTCAGGCTGATCTCGAACTCCTGAGCTCAAGCAGTCTTCCCGCCTAGGCTTCCCAGAGTGCTAGGATTACAGGTGTAATCCTAGCCACCACACCCAGCCCGCCCCCTTCTCTTGTTTGTTTGTTTGTTTGTTTATTTGTTTGTTTGTTTGTTTATTTATTTATTTATTTATTTTTATTTTTTTGAGACAGAGTCTCGCTTTGTTGCCCAGGCTTGAGTGAGTGCCCTGTGTCAGCCTAGCTCACAGCAACCTCAAACTCCTGGGCTCAACAGTCCTTCTGCCTCAGCCTCCCTAGTAGCTGGGACTGCAGGCATGTGCCACCATGCCCGGCTAATTTTTTCTATATATATTAGTTGGCCAATTAATTTCTTTCTATTTTTTTAGTAGAGATGGGTGGTCTCGCTCTTGCTCAGGCTGGTTTCGAACTCCTGACCTGGAGCAATCTGCCCGCCTCGGCCTCTCAGAGTGCTAGGATTACAGGCGTGAGCCACCACGCCCGGCCCCCTTCTCTTTTTTAAACCAAGAAAATAATGTCTGATAAAATGCAACAAAACCATTCAATCCTTCTCATTTTTTATGACTCAGGAAGGAGAGGCCTATCAGAAGTTACCTGGTACATTTACAGTGAGGCCAGGTTACCCAGACCATCCACTTCCCAGGCAGCTTTCCTTTTTTTCCTTAAAAAACTGATCTGGTATGGTGAAAGGTGGACAGTGAGTGTTGGAGGGAAACAGAACCAGCTTACTTTCACGTAAAGCAGAGAGTGTTTCTGTTGCTATATAGCTGGTCCTAGAGTCTTCTGCTAGGGCCAGTTGGTCAGGAGGGAAAGCCACCAGAGCCATTAACTCCTCCACCATTGGGGCTGGGCAGCTTGATGCTGTGGGGTGGGGTATGAAGAACACTTGGTGGTGAGGGAACGCTTGGCTTTTTAAAGTTGATTTGTATTCTCCTTTCAGGCCTTCTGGTTGCCCACCATTGATGACTGACCCTGATGCTGCTCGGCTATTTCTGTACAGTGAGGGTGGGCAGTAGGAGAAAACTCAGAGGGGACTGAGATAATAGTGGGATTGGATCATTGGACTGGGCTGGAGAACATCCTTTCACATGGCCTTCCCATCGATGTGCTGTACGTCTGTGCAAAAGAAAAAATGACTTTGCTGAGCTTCTTCAAAAGGACTCTTGGTGTAGCAGACTCCGTTGGGACTTAGCTTTTCTAGCTGTTACTGCACCAAGCCCCTCCAGAGGAGTGACCAGACTTGTGATTAGGGTATAGTGGAGCTCTCAAGACATCTTCAGTTTTGAATGTATTTGCTGCTGAAAAGCCAGTGAAGTCGTCAGTTCTGCACATCTCTTCTCCCACCCCCATGATGCATGGGCAGCCATGGTCTTTGGGATGCCAGGGCAGCTCAGTGCCCCTTGCCCTCACCCTGCATGTCTTGTTACTGGGTCTCCCTGTGTAATTGTGGCATTATTCCACAGCCATCATGTTTCTTAGGTGCCAAACATTTCAGAAATAAGTCTTCATATATTTTGGGGTCAAGAAAGGGACAGATACAGAAGGACCTTGCTTGTCAGGAAGCTGTGCAGTTAGTCGTGTGAGGGTAGGTGTTCTGGGCAGGCCTCAGGCTCTGGGTATTGGGTGGGAAAAGGCCCAAGAACCTGAAAGGGAGGAAAGAAGGGGTAGCAGGTGAGTTCTGGTGCAGTACTCCATCATCAAGACAAACCCGTGGTCCTCCTAGATGCCTACTGAGCTTGGTGTGTACGAAAGCAAGGTGGGAGTCTATTTTTGTATGTGAGATACATCACGCTTTCCTATGGGCCAGTATTGTGAAGTGAGTCTGAGTTGTTTACACTGATGCCTTCCCTGCCGACCGCAAATTGTGTACATAGTCTCCAGATGATACCACCCTTCTCCCCAGCTCCTAACTAGGAGCTGGTTCTAGGCCTGTGTTATATGTTATATTTAGCCTTTTTATATATGACCTTTGATTTCTGTTATTTGTATTTCAGCAGTGTGTGCACCTGCATTTTAATATATCTGTGCATACATATATGCATATGTGTATGTATGCACATATATATATATCTATATATCTCATTTGTAGTTTCTGAGAGTTCAGCTGAAGGAGTTAGAGTCCTACAGCCTGGGAGAAAGACTGCATCCTTGCTAATAGTGTTTGCCACAAGTGTTAGTGAGTCTTCCCTATTGCCATTTGCCCTTCGGGAGACTGAATGAAGCAAAGCTTCTAGTGTTTGCTGTTTCCATGGCAGCTAAGTGAGGATTTTGGGATGATTCCCTGTTCCTCAAGCCGCACTTTGGGGCCCTCTCTGCAGTATTAGCCCCGTTTTGCCCAGTGATGCTTTGTCTGCACCTGTTAATGTGTGTGACTGTCATTCTTGCATGGCTTCTGTGTCTGGCTTGCGGCATTTGGGATAGGATGCTAGAACCAGAGCATTTTCAGTTTGTCTGAGGCTTCTTTGCCAATTACAGATCACTCCCATTTACCTGATATGTCTGCTTTCTTGCTGCTTTTCCTTGCTTTCTCTTAGAAGAGGAAGGGGCTCTAATAACCAGGCCCAGGTTAAAATGAGTTGCAGTGGACCTATAGCCTTTTCCCCTGCATGGCCTTCTTAGAGCAAACCGAGTGGCATGTTATTTTACTAAGTTCCCAAACAACATTTATGCAGGTAACACTCCCTGCAGATTCATAAACTGAGGCTCAACAAGGTTATGACTTACCCAAGAATATATAGCTGCTAAGAAGTAAATCAGGCCATCACTGCTTCTGTTTAGCAGCAGGAATAGGCTGTGAATTGCCAGCACTTTCTTTTTTAAGCAATTACTTTTTGACTTGTTCCTCAAACTGAAAGTGCAAGAGGTACACAACTTTCCCAAATGTAGACTAGAATCTGCAGTTGCCATGATGCCACCTACTGTGTAGCTCTGCCTTCCCAGAGTGGGGGGCCTTAAGAAACCAAATGATCTGAGCTGTTACTGCCTACCTCTGGCTTTTCAGGGCAGAAAATTCATGAGAAGAGTAATTGTTCAGAGAATGCTTGGAACTGTGGGTTAACAAGAAAGGCTGCATAACTTGACATATCTGCAACCAGAGCAGCCACCAACCCTGACTTGCCCAGCACCAGGAAGAGGAAGAGTATTTTGGTTTCTATGTGTCCAACTAAACATGCCTCCTCATGGCCTCTATTTTTGGGCCCTGTGGCTGCAAAGCTGGCTCCTGAGTTGGGAGGAAAGGTAAAAGATGCAGTTAGAAGTGACTAGAGAGGATGTGGTGGAGGGGATAAGGTAGAAGAGACGCTGAGAGCTGAGTGGCACAGGTGCCCTCAGAAGGGGCCAGAGATACTCAAGCTCTCCTGGGGGGAGGGGCTGCTCACCACCTTCTTAAGAGTCAGGGCCAAAGCCACTGATTCATATTTGACAGCAACACTGCACTGCTCAACCACCAGCCAGAGGGGTATTTTTTTTATTCCCTGTTGCATTATAATTACTGCTTATTAAGGAAAATTTGGGAATTTTACAAAGAATCACCCAACTGCTACCACTGTTAATCTTTTGGTGTTAAATGTTCCTCTAGACATTTCTGTGCATAGATTTTTGGTGTGTTTACACAGTTGTTATTCTGTATATACAATTTTATGTCCCTTTTGTACTTAACATATAAACATTTTTTTCATGTTAATAGTCTTAAACAGAATTTTATGGTTACAGCCTCTTCCATTGAGTTTCTGTAGCATTGTTTGCCTGGTTTCCAGAGTTGGCGGGAGAGTTGGGTTGTCTCCTGCTCTGGCTCACACTGGGGCTCACTGTAATGCTGGTTGGATTGTTGGGCTCCTTGGGACTGCCCCCTGGTAACTAAGTCCCATGGGCTGGTGGAAGGAACCACTACCCAACCCTCAACCCTAGCCTGTAACAAACAGCCATAAGGCCAGAAATGAGTTGACAGGGAAAGGCAAGCCCAAGCCAAACTTGATCTTCAAAGACTATTTGGCACACACCTCAGGCTGCCTTGCATTCCTCATTGTTTTACCTCTAACCCTTGTTCAGATTGGCAACTTCTAGTTGGAATAAGTTTTGTCTTGCCAGGCCCTGGTTTCTGGAGGACAAGAACAGTGGGGCTTCTTTGAGGCTCCTGTACCAGGTCTGGCAGAAAGCCTGTCCAGTTGCTAGGTAACCCACTGCTTGGTAACTCCTGGAGCCTGCTGCTCTAGCTCAACATCCTCAGAGCTGCAAGACCTGCTTCTTGCCCCTTGCCTGCCTCTCTCTGAACCAGAGAAGAAAACCATGGGCCTGCCACATTGCCCGCGGTCATTGGAGGTTGGCTAGGGACTCTGTGACTGGCAGAGGGAACATCCTGGGTTGTGTAGTAGACCAAGCATAGGATCTCCTGAAAGACTACTCAAGGAGGAAACCCCCTCGTGGCCTGCCTGGTGGGAGGGCTGCTGCAGCATTTGGCTCTACTAGGAGACATGAACAAGTAGGTCAACATGGCTGACCTTGCCACACCTCTGGATTGCTTGGAACTGAGACCCACTGCACCCACTCTCCAGGCCCCCGGCCTTGTGAGGAATGAGAGCAGGCTGTTGGGGCGAGCCAGCTCAGCAGTTGATGTGGGTAAGAGAAGCAAGCACAGGATGCTGCCCACACTCTTACTTTGCTCAGGCAGGAGGGGGAGGTCAGTGCTGAGGAAAGAGGAAGTGAAACTCCTACAGGCTGGGAGGGCAGCACTCCTGCACTTGCCTGCTTCCTGACTGGAAGAGTCCTGGAGAGGACACCCAGAACTGTCAGGGCCCAGCTGTAGACAGGTTCACACCTGAAAGTTCTATGCCATGGAATATAGCTATGTGAAAAAATGGGAAATGTCTCAGGTTGTAGTTTTTCCTATCTTCCTTGGAGAACATACAGGAAATGAAATCCATAATGAGTAAGTGGGCAGGTAAGGATGTCTGAGAGCCTCTCAGATTATTTAAATGCACAAGTTTTACCATCGACCCTAGGACTCAGTGGATTTTCTCTTTCCGGGCTGTAATTTGGGGCTGATTGCCTGGTAAGAATTCACCTCAATTGTAAACTAAATTAGGAGTGATTCAGGGAAGAATCAGGTAAAGCTGAGGTTATAAAGGCATTTTACCTTGTAATTCAACAAATACTTCCTGAGCACTTGAGCCTTGGTAAGTTTCAGATGACAACAGTATTGTAGAGAGGATAAACTAAGCTGTTCATCAAACAGCAAGACTTAATGGCCCCAACTAGTCTCCAGCCAAATCTAGCTTTACAGAAATTTGCATTCAAAAGTAAGTGAAAAGGAAGCAGGGTTCATGTCTCTAACCCCAGCACTTTGGGTTGCTGAGATGGGAGGATCACTTAAGGCCAGGAGTTTGAGACACGACTAGGCAGCATTGCACCCCCCTGTCCACCCCCCATCTCTACAAAAAATTAGCCGGGTGTCATGGTGCACTGTAGTGCTGGCTACTCAGGAGGCTGCGGCAGGAGGATCCCTTGAGCCCGGGAATTTGAGGCTACGGTGAGCTAGGATGACACCACTGTACTCTAGCTTAGGCAATAGAGACTCTATCTCAAAGCAAACAAAAACACTAAGTGAAAAGGCAACCCCCCTGGTATCTCAAGCCCAGAACTCACAAGTAGTAGTAAAGACCTACTTTCTGTTCTCTGGGGATACCCAAGCTGAGAACTAGGAAGGCTGCAGAGAAAACAGTCCTGATTATTTGCAAGCTAGAGCTAAGACTGATCCACTAGAAGGTAATAGCAATAGATCTCCTTAATCCAACCTGTATAGCAATACATGATTCACAAGGGCTCTTCTGCACACAAACATTTAATAACAGGGAGGTGATGGGGAACAAAGGCATCATTGGGGTATCAGACTAAGGCAGGGCAAGGGCCAGGCTATAGGTAGCAACTGGAGAACACTCGCCCAACCAAGCCCAACCAATTCGGGAGCTTCTCTTGCCCTTTTTGATCTCCCACAACTTTAGCCCCAGGGCCTGTGTCTCACCTCCAATGGCAGAGGAGAGCAGGGCAGGACCTGAGCTGGTCTCCTCTCAGGGTCTGTGTTCAAGATGGCTGTTCTAGCAGATGTGAGGTTGCCCAAAGCTTTCTATAAGGTACCATGCATGGACTTTGGGGGTTGCTGAATAGATGCCCTGACATCCATGGATTGGAGACCTGGATCCAAACACAGCTAGCTGCCCCTGGTGGCATCTCTGGCTAATACCCTTAGCCCAGGTGTCCCTATCTGAGACTAATACTTGGGGCTGTTGAGGATCTTGTCTGAGGAGCCTCACTTGGTTTTCTTAAGTTGTAAAGTGCCTCTGCCAGAGAGATGTTTATCACTGCAAACAGGATCTGGTGGGCTGGGCAGTCCACACACTTCCAGCTCTGACTGGTATGTGTTCCCCCTTGAAATGGATGGATGGCAAGAGCACTGGGCTATGGGTGGGGACAGGGCAGGCAAGACCTGCTCTTGGCCACAGTGGAGGGGTGCCCAGACTGTACCCCGCACTGGAGTGGTTCTGGGATGCAGTGTCTGAATCTTCAGTGGCCACTGTTCCCTTGGCCCTGGCCGTGCAAGGGAATCACGAACACAGAGACATCATCGTAGGACACCTGCCCTTCCCCTGTGGGACCATCCTTCCTCTGTGTGCTGTGTATCAGCATTTTGGCCAGCTCCAAGAACCTGTGAAGACCATCCTGTAGTTATACTTCAGGGGAAGAGCAAAGGGGCAAGGCCAGCCCTCCAGGAGAACTCATTGCACAGGACTGAATACTTGGGGACCCAAGCAATGCAGTCATACTGTGGGCCAAGCAAGCAACAAGCTGAGAGGGCCACAGGTTGGACCACAGGAGTCTAGACCCAGAGCTTTTTGGAACCCACAGTCTCCCCCACCTCCTCCCCCAGGGAAGCTTGAGACAGCCCTGATCCTGGCCACCTGCCCTGAGTCAGGCTCTTCATCAGTGCTGTCTTCTTGGCCATAACTACTTCTTGGTTGCTGCTGACACCAACCCATGCCCAGGCAGGTCTCCAGCAGCTACAGTACCTGTGTGGGTCCTCTCGGTTCCCAGGGAGGAAACTCCGTACCAGCCATGCAACCTGCTCATTGGACAGGACATCCCAGAGTCCATCAGTTGCCATGACAACCACATCCTCCTCCTGTAGCTCCAGCTGATCCATAGCCAGCACAGTTACCTGCAAGTTAAGCCTGAGGATGCTTCAACATTCCCTTCCCTGCTCCCACCAGCCTCACTGTTTGCCTTTCTGGGCAGATGGAAGCTGGGGTGGATGATCTTGTCCCCTCACCTGTGGGACAGAAAGCAAGAAGGGCTTGAGCTGGATGTTCGTGTCCAGGACTCTGAGCTGATGGTCTCCTAGGCCCCGAGAGACGGCCAGTGTTCCTAGTAACCGAGCCTGGGGGCAAGAGAGGTGTGAGGTGATGGCAAACAGCTCTAGCAAATGCACCAGAGCTAGGCCCCAGCACTGCAGAACACACAGGGAGAGGAGCAGCATGGCCCTCAGGAGCCCTGGGCTGATGGAGCAACATCCTGGTCTCAGAGCCAACCACTGGACACCCGCCACAACACCAGCTCCAGCTCCGTCCCTGTAAAGGGACAAAGGGGCTCCCCATCTCCGCAGGGGGCAAGTGGAGAGGGATTCTTGGGTGGGGGACCGGGCACTGACCTGCCGACCCTGTCCATGGATCAGCGGGTACTTGAGATCTGCTTTCTCCACACGTTTGTAGCTCCTACCAGGAGGAAATCTAGCATCGACCCAGGCCCCACACCCCACCTGAACTGCCCCCCAACTCAGGGCCCAGTTATCATACCCTCATGGTACCCCCCCTACCCAGGTAAAGGGGGACTGCTCCAGGCCACAGAGATGGACCTAGGCCTCAAAGCTCTCCCTTCCCACCATGTTCCCTCACCCTGCTCACCAGCCGCTCATGTGGTGATCCCTGAACAAAACCTTCTGCCCCAAGTCATCCCCCTTCAGCCGCCGAGGAAACTCCAGCCGGGTAAACTCACCAGCCAGAAGCTCAGGATAGACAAAGGCCTGGGGTAGGGAGGCTGTGCTCAGGCCAGGCTCCCTCCTATGGCCTTTTGTGGCTCTGGACACAGGAATTAGGGCAGGGTTCCACAGTCTCCCCCTGCCAAGGACACCTACCAGCTGCTGGATTCGTTGCCGCTCAGTCTCTGGGGTGAACTCAGAGCTCAGCAGCCGTACCTCATCTCTCCGCACGAGGATGGCCCTGGACGGGGTTGAGGAGGGAAGGCAGAGGTGGCCTCCCCCCTCATCCATGGCAACCCTTTTGCCAGCCCCTCCTCCAACCACCAGAAGCCAGCTCTGCCCACACTGATCCCTTGCTCAAAGCCCTCCATGACTGCCTCTTTCCTGCAGGGTAAAGGCCCAGCCCTTCAGCCCATCACCTGGGCTCTCCGTCCTCCTCAGCATCCACTGCCCACCTTTACACCTGACACACACCAAGCACATACGCAAACAACTCAGCCAGTCAATCTTTCCCATTTCTATCCCCCCACTTCCATCTGCCTTTCACTGTCCCCAATGCCTTTTGTGCCCTGCCTACCCTCCCCCAGCCCACCCTCAAAGGGGCAGCTCACTCACCTGCTGTCCCCAGCATTGGCCACATACAGCTTTCCCTGCAGGGACACAGCCACCAGGGCTGTGCAGCCGCCCACCTGGCCTGATGCCTCCAGCTCCCGCCCGATCACCTCATCCTGGGGCAAACCGAGGCCACCTTAGCTGCTACCTGTACTGCCACCATACCACTTTATCCCCCAATCCCCACCCTACAGTTCACTTCCACTAGCAGACCTGGCAGTCCCAGCCCAAAGTATAGCTATGGCTCCAAGATCCCTATAGTCAGAAGGTTTAGACAAGGGAAGTGCTACTCAAAATAGAGGAAGAGAAACAGGGTGTGCAATGAGATGATGCAGGTAAAAGTATCTAGCACATACTACGCGCTAGATAAGTGGGAGGGGTTATGATGACAATGATGGCTGTTAGTAACAAACCTATCCAATCTCATCTTCCCAATTCAGGCATCCCAGGTGATCCCCATGGTGTATAGGAATGCTACTGCCTAAGGTCGGGGGGGGGGGGGGGGGGGGGAACTTCCCTATTCCCAAGGCCACACACCACGCATCATCCTGAAGCACTCCCAGACTCCGATCACCAACTCGCCCTGAGCCCTTGTTCCCGCACAAACGAGTCACTGGGCAATACCATGCGGCCACTGAGGTGCATGAGGCTGAGTGTCCCACCAGCCCTCTACCACACTCCAGCTCCGCAGCCAGGGAATCAGGGTGTTGGCAGCCAGATCTGCGCAGGACCGCCGTGCCCATCAAAAAGGCCCAGTAAGCCCGTCAGAACTGCAATGAGAAGGCGCTCAGGTCAAGGTTTCCCGCCTGCCTTCTCAAGCTGTCCCCAATGGCCCAGCTGGACCATGCCATGGGGCACAGGGCAAAGAACCAGCCGCAGTCACGGCGCCCGCCTGTAAGAGGGCCAATCTAGCCGCGCGTACCTCCTTGGGCACAGGGTCATCCACTCTATCATCTTCAAGCCCCCAAACCCACATCGCCGCGAGCCAGCTTCCCACAGCCACTTGATCCTCATTGGAATTCAGATTCTCTGCATTGATGATCCGAGCCGGAAGTTTCAACCCTTCAGAACACACTATCCACTGGCAACAGAGCCGAGCGCACACCAAAAAGCCCTCCCTTGAGCAACAGCCCCATGCTTTCCCTCCACACCTGACAACCACCATAAGTTTCCCTTAACCACGTCATGGCCTCACCGCTTAAGGTAAAGCAGGGCCCAGCTCCTCTGAAGCCTACCGCGACCCAAGGCTAGGAGGTAAACGGCTGCGGAGACGGGGGGCTCCCTCTCCATCCCTGCCGCCATCCTCAGCCCGGAACCCTTACCCATAACAAACCACCATACCCACGCGATGGTGGGTGGGTGTCTCCAAAGCCAAGAAGCTTGGACCTTACCGATCCCCGCCCTTCGGAACCCCTGGTCAGGCCCCTCGCCTCCCTTCCTGAGGGAAGCGGAGTCCCAGAAAAAGGCTGGCTGGATAGGGGAGTTCGTCAGGGTCCCGAGTGAAGACAAAAGGGGGTATCCTCAGACGGAGGGAGCCACTCACTCAGCTTACCTGTTTTCTGTGGGCACGAATCCCGATGCTCCGCAGCGGCGCCGGCCAGGGTAGCGGGCGGGCACTCACTCGGCGTACCTGCTTCCAGGAGCGAGCGCCCCGCGCGCTGCGCAGGGCCGGGCATCCGGCGGCGCGAGGCGTCGGCGCGCCCGGCCGACCCAGGCCGCGCAGGAAGCGCGGCCGCCGTGTGCCAGGGCTGCCACGCGCCGGCGCGCGCGCGGGGAGCGGTCCCGGCGCAGAACGGCGCCGAACCACCGGCGACATGCGCGCGCGGGGCCCGCGGAGCGCCTGGGCCTCCGGACGCCGCGCCCGCCCTGGGAGCAGGAAGCGGCCGGGCCGGGCGGGGCGGGGCGGCGCGGCCCCAAACGCCGCCCTCCGGCCGGAGCGTGTGGCCCGCGGCCCGCCCTCGTGCTTGTCCGGCGGGTCCAGCCTCAGAACAGCCCCAAGAAGCGAGCACTGTTATCGACCCCACTTCACAGGCCGGAGACAGGCGCAGGGGCGAAGTCGCCTGCCCTGTGTCGCACGCAACGCCAAGGAGGACCGAACGCCCACCCGCTGTGTGGGGCGCTAGTCTTTGAGGGCGGAGGGCCTGCCTCTACCAGCGGGCTGCGCAGGGAGGGTCGTCAGCAGGGGCTGGGCCAGGCCCGGCGGAGCCTCCAGCCTCCTGCTGGGCGGGACCTTATGCAAGGGGAAGGTGGGACAGGATGTGCTTGGAGGAGTCAGATTGAGACATTGAGTAAGAGTGTCTCAGAGCACAGTGTTCCGTCCCGTGGCCTCCCTTCCTCACCACCCAGCCTGGCACCCTCCACCCAGACGGGGCTTCATGGTCACCGGCCTCCGCCATCCCGAGAGGCTGCTTCCGCACTCAAAGCCAGTCTCCCAAACGGCTGCCCTTCCAATCCAGATGTCCTCCCGGACAGGCAGCAGGATCCTCACTAGAGTGCAGGTGACTGACAGACCGCAGGGATCTGTGGGAGTTCAAAGGGGATCCGTGGTCCCCCAAGCCTCCCACTGGTCAGAGTGCAGCCCTGGGACTAATGGAAGTGAAAGACTTTCGTCTGGGCTGAAGGCAAGACGTCGCAGTCTCTCAACCACTGGCTAGCTGTCTCCATGCAGTGAGTGGCAGTGTCCCCTTGACATGTGCATGTTAACAGAGCACACTGTCACCCTTGTCGCTCATGTTCAACTCTCTGTGCAGCGCTGTTATTTCTGTTTCATAGTGGAAGTTGCTGAGGCCACAGAGGCGAGCCTCTGGAGCTGCGCTGTTTCCATTATGACAGTGCAGCCGACCCACGGCCAGCCCCAGGAAATTTCTCTTCCCCTTTCCTCCTCCTGGAAGCCAGGGCTTGCCAACTCAAAGCCCCCAAGGCTCCACAGCCCAGTGCCCCCAGGACGGCTATATGAAGTGTCCGTACACTCGCCCCCACTCCCTAGGCCAGGCTCAAGGGCAGTAGGCCCTACTTCCTCCCAGCAGCAGCCCTGCCCCAGTGGGAGTTCCTCCCGGCCCAAGGAGGAAGGTTGAGCTGTGCCCACCACCCACTCCTTCAGGTGACTCAGTTCCAGAGCAGCCTGGGGTCTAGTTTGCTGAACCACTGTGTGTACCAGGCCCACACTGGGCACAGTGTTAATGGAGAAGAGCCAAGCTCCTACCCATTGAGCCCTCCTGCAGTGATGGCGGAAATCCTGGTGGAATTTGCTTGATCCAGCTGGCAAGGGTGTAGGGACAAAGTCAGAGAAAGTTTCCCAATGAGACCTGTCATTGGGACAGAAATGGACCAGGGACCCAAGGTAGGGCAGGCTTAATTCAGTCTGTGGGGTCAATTCCTCACCCCACCAGACTATGGCTTAGAGGCATTTTTTTTTTTTTTTTTGAGATAGCGTCTGTGTCACCCAGGCTGAAGTGCAGTGACACAATCATAGCTCACTGCAGCCTCAAACTCCTGGGCTCAAGCAATTTTCCTGCCTTAGCTTCCCATGTAGCTGGGACTACAGGTATGTACCACCATGCCCAGCTGCAGAGGCTTTTAAAGTCTATAATTAGAAGAAACAAAGGAAACACTCTCTATTCCCCAACCCACTGTCTTGGACTCACCTGATCAGGGTGAAAAACCTGTCCTTTTTCACAGAAGCTCTGAGCAACCAGATGTCACAGATAGTCTAATGCCCAGCTTAGCCACTTCACATTTTCAGAGCCATGTGGAGCCCTATGGCAAGGTAGTCTGAGTGTTCCTTCAGTGCCACCAGGTTCCTCTGGACCCCTACGTTCCCAAGTGCCTCTGCTCTTGTCTGGATCCTAAGCCTGCCTACTTTGTTTACTCCCTTATTTTGCTGAAGCACATCCTCCAACAACCTTCTAAGAAAGGATGACTGGGAGGCAATTTCCTGGGTCCTTGCAAGTCTAAAATGGTTTATATTTTGCCTTTACTTTTGACTGATATTTGGGCTCAGAATTCTGACTGCTCTGTTCTTTGTCTTTTCCCTGCTGTTGATGCTGCTGAAATCCAGTGCCCTTCTCATTCTTAGACCTTTGGATTGGCCTGTGTTTGCCTTCTTTTCTCTCTAGAAGCTGCCAGGCTCTTCTGCCTCTGTTGTCTACAAATGCAGACAAGATAGATCCTCAGGGTGGGTCTGTCTTCATTCCTGGGCTGGGTCCTCCCTGGGGCCATGCAACCTCTCACTCCCCAATGGCACCCTTTTCCTGACATCCTTCTCGCAAATGTTCCTGCCTGCCCTGGTGGGAGGCCTCTCCTCGGCAAACTCACCAGCACCTGGGGGATGGAAGGTGGGGGAGGAGCAAACCTAGCAAAAGGAAAAAACTTTTTATCCTACATTTTTTTTCACTCACAATGAAAAGCTTTTATTGAGTCCCAAATCTGTTCTTTAACAAGATTTATTTCAGATTTAATTTTTTTAATTGAATACTTTCATATGACTCAAAATTCAAAAGAAATAAAAGTATATTTAGGCTGGGCGCAGTGGCTCACGCCTGTAATCCTAGCACTTTGGGAGGCCGAGGTGGGCGGATTGCTCAAGGTCAGGAGTTCGAAACCAGCCTGAGCGAGACCCCGTCTCTACCAAAAATAGAAAGAAATTAATTGACCAACTAAAAATATATATACAAAAAATTAGCCGGGCATGGTGGCGCATGCTTGTAGTCCCAGCTACTAGGGAGGCTGAGGCAGTAGGATCGCTGAGCCCCGGAGATTGAGGTTGCTGTGAGCTAGGCTGATGCCAGGGCACTCACTCTAGCCTGGGCAACAAAGTGAGACTCTGTCTCAAAAAAAAAAAAAGTATATTTAGCAACAAGTCTCCCCCACAACCCATCCCTTGGCCACCCAGTTACTCTCCCAAAACACAACCAACATTACTAATTTTGTGGGGATCCTTCCAGAGATGTCAGGGGTATTCTGTGCAAATTCAAGCAAAATATGTGTGTGTGTGT